TGACTTTAATAACATTTCTTACTTAATGGAAACACTGCAGTTGTGAAACTGTGTTTTTTCCACATTAACAGAATTTCGACAAAGTTTTGCGCACATTTGTAATGGAAACACAGCTAGTGTTGTTAGCCTTGTAACAAAGCTCTGTTTACATGCAGACATTCCCCTCTGACATCACTTCCTGTTTCTTCACAGACAAATATCTCAACAACTGTTCATCTCAGTGGTGTGAAATTACTTTTGCAACAAGTTGTCTGTTATCTTTCCAAAAGTGCGTCCATATTTATCACAAAAATGTGATGTCACAGGCACTTTAAAGTTTAATGCTAGCTGCGGAGTTATGAGTTAAATATGTTGAATATTCTGATTTTAGCTGAAGCTAACGTCAACGTTTGGGTTGATTTGAGTTTCACAGGATGTTTTTATCTTTTTTAAACACAATGGAAACATTTGACTGACAAATACTGACACTGTTTATAATGTTTTTACTATTTAAATTGAAAGCATGTGTTTACCTTTGAATGTTGTTATGAATTTGATATTTTGCTGTCTGATAAAAGTAAATATTTTTGATAAACAGCGTGTTTGCTGGTTTATGATTGAACATTCAGCCGTGCATGTGATGTGCAGCATGTTCTGGAAAAGCCACGCAGCAGCAGTCACATGCTCAGGGAGTCACACACACACACACACACACACACACACACACAGCTCATATGAGAGCTGAGAGAATGAGGGCAGCATGAATACACTAAACCCCCACACTCCTTTGTTGCTATGGAAACCTGTCCTGACGGTCCTGCATTAAGATCTAGGTTACCGGATATGACGTCAGTGCCGTGCCTCCCTGTCCATCTACAATCTCTTTTAAGGCTCTTTACCGCTACGGTTGTCAGATGATGATTAATGTATTTGACTTGTACATCATACTTGGTTGTAACATCTCATATAAAGCGTTCATTCGATTTTTTTCGACTTTTTTCTTTACTCCTCCGCCCTTGTCTTTTATTTTGAAAGTCCAGCGATATGTTTTCGTCTCCAATGACAAATTACATCATTTAAACTGCTTTCATAAGCAGAAATCTTTGTCATTTCAATAATTTATTAAGCGTGTGGCATATTTTTATATAAAAAGATGATTAACATTTAAATTTGACGGGTTTTAAAGCAACCCCGTTTTATTTTGACAGGCTCTACCGGAAGTGGTTATGCGCGTTGCACGTTCACTTCACGTAAGTCTGTGGAAAACCTGAACGGTCGGACGTCGAGCGTCTCCATCCCGACGACACTGGACGAACTAACGGTTTGTGGCGGTTCTGGTGAGCTCCCGGAGGTCGTGTCCAGCAACATGGCGGCTGTTGTCTCCGCTGGCGGCCTCCGCTGCTGAAAGACTGAAGATCAAAAGGTGAGACGCTCGAGCGACCGACACGAGCTAATCGGCTAAATCTAGCTTAGCACGGCTAGCAGTCGGTGTAGTTCCCGTTTCCTGACTCGGCTCTTACCTCAGCGCTGGGTTAGAACTTTTATCAGGCTTTTCTTTTTTATTTCACAATGTTGACGTAAATAAAGTTAAGTTAAAAATATAAAAATAACTCATTTTTACCAAAATATATTTGTTTTTACCGGAAAGTCCTTTAAAACCCACTGAAGCTGCAGCTTTTCTCTTCGTTTCCAGTAAAAACTACATTTATCTTTGTGTTTTTGTGACCTTTTATTTTAATTTAATGTGCATTTCTTACCTGTGGGAATTTACTATGTTAATTAAAAAATCTTATTAAGAACTTGTATAAATAAATTGTTTTGTATCCGCTAATGATGTTTGGAATATAATTAGAGCTGCAACGATACCAAAAATTCACGATTCGGTTCGATACTTTAGTC